CAGTTTTCTGCTTACGATGATTATCTACAAAAAATGCTAAACTAAAGTTTTTTTTCATCATATCAAGCAACATATTTCTGATTCTAACACATGTGTATCAACAGAAATGAAAGATTTTACATGTAATCACTTACATTAAAACCCTAAACATATAAACATGTTTAAAACGTATTAAAAACAGTAGATCACATTAAAACTCATGTTTAAACATATTTCCAGATCTGGATCTTAATTTACAAATTCGTTTGTGAGCTTTTAAAAACTAAAAATATTCGATTTTAGCATCATATGCTATAGAGGTCTATTTTTATACACAAACAGTGATTTAGGCTCAAAAATCTGAAATAAAACCAAAGAAAACTATACAAACAGTGAGTGAGAGTTGTGCGAGATATTACTCGCCTCTGATATGATGCACAAACTCCTGGATCTGCCAAAGCACGGTCTCCTCTGCTGCACTACACAAAATCCCGTGCAAACTCCTTCGAGAACTCCTCAAAAACGTCAAAATCCGAGCTAGGGTTTAAGAGGGAGAGATGGGGGGTCGGGTTTTGCGTTTTGATGGTGTTCTCGGGTAGGAGATAACATATATGAGCGGTCAAACCCAATACAAAACCGAACAGACCCGCAAACTAAAAGAAAACCCGAAATCAGTCCGTAAGTCGACTCATTGGTCGACTCATGAGTCAACTCAGCAAACATTATTCCAGATTCGTGCATGTTTTGTTATTCTGCCAAAACCAATGCACAAAACTCTATGAAACCACACTCATACATATCTAATAACTTGTTATCAAGTATATCCCTGACCTCAAGTCATTTACCACAAAAGAATTATTTATCACTAATGATTCATATATCTATATAACAAAAATACGGGGTTTTACAGAAGATATGTTTATCAAATAGCAAGTTGTATTGATTGACTCGGTCCAAAAGTTTTTTGACAAACTGGAATTTGAGAGAATGCACCGAGATCTCTCTAAAAGTATTATGTTCGTCCTTTCCGCAACTCCATTTTACTGTGGTGTATGCCGAGCTGTACGATGATGCACAATACCTTCATTCTTGCAAAATTGGTCAAACTCTGCGGAACAAAACTCTATTCTATTGTCGGTTTTGAGGCGCTTCACTTTCTTTCCTGATTACTTCTCAATCATAACCTTCTATTGCTTGAAGGTTGCAAACACATCACTCTTATGCTTCAAAGGATACACCCAAACTTTTCTAGAATAATCGTCAATCAATGTTAGCAGAAATCGAGCTCCGCCTTTTGCTGGAACCTGAGAGGGACCCCAAATATCTGAATGGATATAATCTAAAGTATCATTAGTTTTGTGAACACCGGTATTAAAGGAGACTCTATGGTGTTTGTAGAAAATACAATGCTCACAAAAATCTAGCTTACTAGTTTTCTGACCACAAAGCAGGCATTGTTTGCTCAATACATCTAGTCCTATCTCACACATATGCCCTAACCGTATATGACACAAACATGTAGTGTCAGAACCTGAATCCTCCAAGGATGACACTGCTGCAGAACCTGTCATTGTATTGTCTTCAAGGATATAGAGGGTATTTACCTTCTTTCCTTTCATCACAACAAGAGAGCCTTTACTAACTCTCAAAACTCCACATTCAGCCAAAAACTTAAAATCATTTGAGTCAAGGGTGCCTAAAGAAATGAAGTTCTTCTTTAACTCTGGTATATGTCGGACATTGTTTAATGTTTTAATAATATCATCATGGGTTTTAATCTTAATTGATTTGATACCAACAGTCTTGTAAGGCATGTTATTTCCCAACAAGACATTCCCATCATCGATAGACTGATATGTGGCAAACTAATCCCTATGCGGACATATATGGTAGGAACAACCCGAATCAAGAACCCACTCATCTTGTGAATGAGTACTAATACTAACTGAAAGAACTTTATGTGAACTAGAAGACTCTTCAGTTACAGTGACAACTGAAGATTTTACCTCCCCAGACTTCGACTGTGAATTATTATTTGCTTTGAGCGCTAGACAATTAGGTTTTATATGCCCATACTTGTGACAGTAATAACATTCAACATTTTTTCTTGGCCTGGACTTTGATCTAGATATATTTCTAGATTTGCCTCTACCACTAACACCCTTTTCAGGATGATCACGAGCGAATAAGCCTTTAGCTTGATCATCTCCTCCTACAACAGACATTTTCTGCCTTAACTCTTTTGAATGTAAGACTGATTTGACATCCTCCAAAGAAAGTGTATTTCTATCGTATAATATGCTATTAACAAAATTCTCATAGGAAGAAGGTAATGAACATAACAAAATAAGGGCTTGATCTTCTTCATCAATTTTAACATCAATATTCTTTAAATCCAGGTAATGAACATAACAAAATAAGGGCTTGATCTTCTTCATCAATTTTAACATCAATATTCTTTAAATCCATAAGAATAGTGTTAAGTTCATCTAATCTTCTTCATCAATTTTAACATCAATATTCTTTAAATCCATAAGAATAGTGTTAAGTTCATCTAAATGGTCTGCAATCCGCATATCTTCCTTCATGCGAAGGGTGAAGAGGCGTTGCTTCAGGTAGAGCTTGTTCGTTAGAGATTTCGTCATGTACAAGGTCTCCAACTTGAGCCACAAGCCGGCGACGGTATCTTCATTGGCAAGCTGCCGCAGGACCTCATCGGCCAAACAAAGTTGTATGACACCATGCGTCTTCATCTCCAGCTCTTATTTCTCATCATCGGATATAGATTCTGGCAACTTATCCTTTCCGAACAAGACTTTGAACAGTCATTGTTGTACTAGAAGAGCCCTCATTTTTACTCTCCACAAACTGAAGTTGTTTCTCCCGTCGAATTTCTTCACTTTGCATTTTACAGAAGACATCTTGAAGCCACTAGAACAGTAATTGTACTTATGAATAGTAACGTGCTTGTGAACAGTGACCGTGCGCATGAATAGTAATAGTACTCATGAATAGTGTTGTACTCATGAATAGTGTTCAGTGCATTTAAGAGTAAATGATTATCTACTTATTTTCTGATGTAGTGGATCTACTTTTAGTGGTAGCCATAGAGCATACGATAAGCAGATATATGTACTCTAAGTCAGGCTCTGGTACCAGTTTGTTACAGCGGGAGCTTCACAGACACGAAAGATGTCTATACACGAGTAGAGAATAACAACACTGAATGAACACAGTGAAGACAAAGAGAACAGCACACAAGGATTTAACGTGATTCGGTCAGTATAACCTACGTCCACAGGCGAGAACAACAGAGAACTTCACTAATCACAAAAGAGAAGATTACAAAGGGAAATCACTCTAATGTCTCACTAAACTCACATAAAGAGGAGAACACTCAAAGAAAACTCTTTTTTTTTCTTTTCTCTTCAAATCTCTCTTTCTTCTCTCTATTCTAAATTTCTGTTCGATATTCTAACCCTTCACCATTCTCCTTTATTAATAGCCTTTAAAAGGGTTGGTGGAACAGTGTTTTGGGTTGGTGTAATAATATTTTGGGTTGGTGGAACAGTGAAGTTTGGTGTTGAATTCAAAGTCAAATAATAGAGACAAAGCAAGCAAAGCACACTATTGCTTGTCATAATAGATGCGTATCTCAAATCTAAATAGGAAAGGAGATGATTATCTCTTGCTAATGCGTAAAATATTGTAAGATTGACTCCCACAATAA